AAAGTAAAAAGTTTACACTCAAAGCCCATAACTGCACCCCTTGTCAGACAATTTGATTCAGAATGGAGAAAGTTGTTACTATCTCTGAAAATTGGAAATTTTGGCACACCAGTCAAGAGAATTATTTAAAGGAAGACTCCACGCTGCTACAAACAGAGAGCAAAAAAGAAATGGTAAACACTGTTTTGTGGTTTTGTTATTCTGAAAATATCATGTTACTTATTTAAAAAAAAAATCCCCGATTCTCATTAGATCAAATTCCTTAATATTCTATAACAGTAATGTAATTGTAAAAATAAAGGTTTAAAAGACGCAAAGTAACAATTAGTATGTTGTGTTTTCCTATTCCCCATCTCCCCACTTCCAATTTGATGCTGGTTTCCTCACAGATACTATAGGTGGGAGATTCTTCTCTGCAGGTTGTTTTGGTCCAGCACTTTCAGCTACACCTCATGGTGTGTTAATGGCCTCATTGTAAAATAACAATGTAACTTACTTCAGAATATTGTTTGGGGATTAGGCCGTAAATATATATCAATGGTGAGAATAGTCTTGCACAGTGAACACTCTGTCAGTGTTTGCTGTTGTTCTCTGGAGCACATCACAAGTCATCTCTGGGTTTCAACCTTTGATTGTGCATTTCAAAGAAAAAATGATAAAATGATACCTTTTTTTCTTTTGCTCCTGATGCAGGGATATTGAGAAGTTAAAGTTTATGTTTAAAACATCAGCAGTACTCTGGAGAGAATATTTGCTTTAAAGTAAATGGATTCTCCTCAAATAAATCTATAGACAGTCTCTGCGCTAAGTCTGCAGGCCCCCTGAAGCATGAACTATCTTGTTTCCAAGAGACAGTTAATAGCTAAGTATGTTGTGATTTACAGAAAGAACAAATTCCTTAATTATTATTATATCACTTTTTACCATTTACCATCCTTACACCTTACCACACAGTAGGTTCTCAACAAGTATTTGCTTAATTCAATATGATTTTATTCAGTTCTTCATTTCTCACAAAGAGGAGCTGAGGTACATTAGATTCTCATCTTTTCTTCTTCAGGATAAAGGCATCACTTACTTTGGACATAGTGGCTCATGCCTGTGGTTTCAGCACTTTGGGAGGCCGAGGCAAGCAGATCACTTAAGGCTAGGGGTTTGAGACCAGCCTGGTCAACCCAACATGGTGAAACCCCATCTCTACTAAAAATGGAAAAGTTAGCTGGGCGTGGTGGTGGGCGCCTGTGATCCCAGCTTCTTTGGAGACTGAGGCAGGATAATTGCTTGAACCAGGGAGGCAGAGATTGCAGTGAGCCGAGATTGCACCACGGCACCCCAGCCTGGGTGAAGGAGTGCGATTCTGTCCCAAAAAATAAAAATAAAAATAAAAAAGGCATCACTCAAATATATAAAGTAGAAATACAACCTAATTCACCAAGTCAGTGGAAATCATGTAAATAAAACTAAATACCTTGTTACCTAAAGGTTTTGTTTTGTTTGTTTGTTTTTTTTTACAATGGATAAGGTCATGTAAGGAAGGGAAAAGCATGTTTTATTTTTATTTATCTTTTACCTGGAGTTTAAATGTGGAAGTTTAAATAAAAGAGACTTTTCTCTAGTGTTCTGCCGAACTTGGAAAAGAATAGCAGAGAAAACATAACATATACTGCCTCCTGTGTTTGGTTTTCACAGCTGACAGCTGGCAGCTGATTGTAATAGCCTGGAATAAAGGAGAAATGGTAGCAGAGTTTACTAGTAAAGACTGTCTGCAAAGTGTTGTCATGGAGTTATGTTTAGAGAAAGGATAGAAAACATGTATAATTATTCTTAGAAAAAGTACAATGAAGCCAAAGGGCAAGCATCCTTCAGCCGATGTCATCCACAGTGTATGATGCAGCATTTACGAATTAGAATTTATCCACAGCGCAATTGACTTCAGCTCCTACAAATATCCTCAGTAGCGATGCTGCTTTCCTCACAGATACTATAGGTGGGAGATTCTTCTCTGCAGGTTGCTTTTGGTCCAGGATTCAAGGCATTTTCGAGACAGCACCGGGAATACCAGTCTTATATCCTAGTCCTACCAACAATGAATTGGGTATCTTAGATCTCTCTCATCAAGTTGTAAGTTAGCTTTAAACAAAGGAAAAGAAAACTGAAAGTAAAACTGTCCTGCAAATGTAAAGAGGCTTCGTTACATGGTTTTGTTAAAGTACATTAGATGTGTAAAAAGAAAAACAATAGGATAATGATATTGGTAGAGTTACAGTAGATATTATTGGAGCCTAAAAAATTATTCATACGTGAAGCTTATGCAAAAGTCAAGCACAGTTTAAATCAGATTATCCTGCTGTTTGTAATCTTCAGAAACCGTTAGAATCTCTCTACAGAGGAGTTGACTCCCAAATATTAAAACTGGCCCTGAGAAAACCTACTAGGCTTTTCTATATTTATAATCTGTTTGCATCCCCAAAATGAAAGCTTCCCATTACCTTTTTCACACTTCCTGCTGTAACAGGGCTCATGGCCTGTTTCCTGTTGATAAATTCTGAGAGCAGGTTTGATATCCTTGGTAAAGAAGGAACTCGGTATTTATTCTGGGGATCTTAGCTCTGCTAGGAAAGGCTGGGCTCCTCATTTGACTGCTCCTGCAATTTCTTCAGAATTACATGAACAAGAACCTAGAAGAAAAAAAAAAGTCTCCTCATGCTGATAACCAATTCATACAGTGCCCTTCTCTGGTTCTTAACTGGATATTGTTCTCAGCAAATCAGTTAAAATTTCATTTTATGATTATTTCCTATTCTTAAAATCGATGTGAAAAATTGAGTGGAGAGAATGTTATACTACATTCTTTTTCTGTTGTTTTGAAATGTTTGCTATTTTTTTTCCTCTTTGCTCTCTAAAGTGATACTACTGCCTAGTCCCAGACTTGGAAAGACACCATTCAACACTCACTCTGCAAGTAGCTAGACTCTTCACATTAATGGCATTTAAAGAGATGCTTGCCATCCATCCCTGAGCTAGCCTGCAACTACATAGGATGCTAGGAGTCAAAACATTTAGAATACATGTCTCTGTTTTGCAACTTAATCCCCCAAATCATTTGACTTTCTCCATGAGCCATATTTTCTTTTTGTAGCACCAAGGCTTACATAACAATTGCTTAATTACAGACTTAATTCTCATTTCTTGTGTATCTATAATACGAAATACTTTCATTGAACATCTGCTCTCATCACAGAAAATATTTGCTAATAATTGCCTTAGTTCCGTAATGTAGGTGTCCTTCTACAACTTTTTCTTAAATACAAATCTCCAAAGAAGTTTGTTGTTAAAACGAGTTTAACAACAAAACTTCTCCTGTCGTATCCTTACATATTTTAAGCTCTGCCTAAAGGTTTCTCTGTACATTTTCTGAACTATAGCAAGTTGACGTGTAAACAGACCCTAGCCTACACTTGTGCCGATCACCATGTTTTGTTCAATCATATGTAGCCAACTGTTTGAACCATGTTCAAACAAGGCAAACGCTGAGCTGTAACCAGTCTAGTTTTTTCTGTACCTCACGCCCTTTTTCTGTGCTACACTTTGCTATTTCTGTCCATAAATCTTCTCCACCACCTGGCTGTGCTGGAGCCTGAGTCTGCTCTGGTTCAGGAGGCTGCCTAATTCACGAAACATTCATTGCTCAATTAAACCCCTTTAAATTTAATTCGTCTTAAGTTTTTGTTTTAACATTGTTTATGCATGTTTGTGCTCCCCTATATTCAAAAATAAATCACTAGATCCTCTTAAAAATATTTTCTTGATTTCTCTTACATTTTATATTGCAGTTCAGATTATGAAACCAATTTCACATTTACCTCATTTCAGCTAACAATAATATTATGAGGAAATTATAACTATTTCTACCTCATATATCATGAAATATGCTCCATGAAGTAAAATGATTTGCCAAATAAGTAAATCAGAATCAGAGATCTAAAATCCTCGTTTTTTGACCACAAATACAGTTTTCTTTGCAGGACACAATGTATCAACAGAACTTGTTCAACCCTGAAGAAATGTTTAAGGAAATCAACAGAAAATGGGAAGTTCTCAAGGAAGAACCTGCAATAACCTTTGCTAAGTGACAATTTATGAAATGAAGTCTTACGAAAATGAGCACTGTGTTCTTTCTATCATGTAATTGCTACTCTATGTTAGTACAAAATGAGACAGATGTTTACTGAAAACAAAAGTGAAGCACCTTAGTTTCCGCTATTGAAAAGTAAAGATTTCTAATATGTTATCCTTCTAGCATCAAAACCCCATAATTGATTTATCAATGAACCAATCAAGTTTGTGGCTGTGATGGTGTCATTCACAACAATCCCAGTTATGTTTGCTCATGGAGTCATCTCAAGAAAGAAGTGCCTACCAAAGGAAAAGCTACACAGATGTCACTGTCTCTGTTCATGTCTCATGATCTGATTAGAAATCAGGTGCACTAATGAAACTCAGCTTACTCATCAACCAAGTATTGATGCCATGAGTTTGCTTCAAAAGATTTCATTTTAGTAAAGTGTTAAAACTGTTCTCTTGAAGACAATATGCATTTCAAAGACCTCTTATTTTTTCCCAGATAATCACAGAATCAGTACTCTTGTAGATTCCCCAAAAACTCTCAGTAAGGCAGATTGTTATATTTTGAGAAGCATTCCCATGCTGAATTTTCCCCCAAATCGTAAGTCCATTCTAAAACACACACTTCACCGTGGTCGCACTTATTATCATTAAATCTTCAGTATATGAACGGTGTAAATTTGAGTCAAATGGAAGAAAATTGGGACTGAAATCAAGCTATTACAGGTGCACATAAAGAGAGTAACTTTTTTTGGTCTTCAATAAAGGGAATATCAGGGAGAGTAATTCTGATATGGAATTGAGTTGGGATATATTTCTTTCCTAGAATAAAGTCCTATGGAAGGTAGACAATTATCAGAATTTTTCCCCCCTTAGGTCAGATGGGTAATGTACCGATGTCGTAACAAGGTTCAGAGGGTGGCATAGCTCACATGTTCTCATGAACACCCAATCATCATGCTCATGAACTACAAAAGGACCAAATTATCAGAATCTTAATGGACACAGAGACGGATGTTTATAGGACATTGAGATTCTCATAACAAGAGACATCCCTGTTGGGAAGCAGGCCATAGACATAGTAGATGGGGTCTTTACTGAGGGACTGGGAAGTGAACAGTGTGAACTGAAACGAGAAAAAGATTCCTTGTGCATTTGGTGGTATAATCTGGGGAATGACTGCTAAATTCAGATGGACTACTTGACTGTCAGGGCAAAAGATGTTACTTCCCAATATTTCTTCTACTTTAAAAAGTTTCTCACTCCTCCAGACGTAAAGAAGACATGGAAACAGGGAGGTGATATTAGACATTGGGAAGAAAGAAAGCCAAAAGTTATCTCTAAGCCAAGAAGGTAGATGACATTATGAATTTCTGAGGCTGGTTAGTGGCATATAAATAGGACTTCTTGTGACTGGTAAATATGTGCATGGACGAAAGCTTGGAAAGTCTGGTGACTGTGAACAGGAAACATGAGACTCCATCTTGTACAAGTGACAGAGACGGTCTTTCCTGATAATGTTCCATTTCCCAATGTCTCAAGTAGCCCTTGCATTGACCTCACTTGGCTCAACTCTGTTGTAGTTGCAACTGGGGAGTCAATCACTTTGGCCAAATGGTTCAGGGAGGCCAATGGAGGCTTTTTGGCTTCACTTTTGCCATCCTCCTCTCACACGCACACCGCCTCAACTCGGCAGTCCTTTGAGAAAGCCATTCCACTGATGATGGCCACACAGCCTCTGCTTCTTGGGGTTGTGTCATGTAATACAATATGAAACCTTTCAAAGAAGGAAAAAGTAAATTTAATCACACTCTATTTCTAAAATGAAGCATTAAGTATCCATTCTTCCTTGGGTGATGAAATTATAGTCTCTGTACCAAAATGAGTTTACTTGAAATGTGGGGTCACCAACCTCTTTCTTTTCCACCCCTCAATTTCCATACTCATTCTTAGAAACAGCAGGTCACCCAAAACAACAAAAATCATTTCTAACTGAAGTAAGCTGTATGTTCTACTCCAAATTTATATGATTTTCCTGCCACTTAAAAACTTATCTACCTCTCTGTAACTCAGATAACTGTAAGATACAAATGATTACATAGACTATGTCCTGTCTCCTGGGAGACTAAATCCTATATTGTGTATAGGGAAGAATGGTGTCTGTTCAAACATGGCTTTAAATGAAATATGTTTTGACAGAGAAACTACATTTTCCTATTTCAAAGGATACCTTGGGTCATTTAAAGTTAGAAACCTGTAATGCAGTCTTTTGTGGCTTTGTAGTGGGGTGAAAACTTGAGTCATATCCATAACAATTTCTTTATTTTAAAAGCAATCTAGTTAACATGTTAAAATCTCAGTGGTTAATACATAAGTAGGTATTATATTATTGTTTACATCTTCATGTAAATTTGAAATATTTCATAAAATAAAACAAAATGTTAAAATAATAACTTGGATATTTTTATCATGTTATGACAAACTTGCTGTGGTGCTCAGTAGCTTCTGCCCTCTCTCAGACAGGTCTGCTTGCCTCAGAATTCTGCTAGGAACTGGTGGGAATTCCAGCTCTCTATTGTAAGATAGCACGGGGGTAGAGTGACCAGGACATGCTTACCTCCAGTTTTGTCATAGAGCACACGACAGAGTGCTTCAGTCACATGCTGTAGCTTTTCTGCAAGCTCCATGTTCTGGACTTGAAGAGATTTTAGCTGTTGGGAGATATTTCTTTTTCTTTTTTTTTTTTTTAGACGGAGTTTCGCTCTTGTTACCCAGGCTGGAGTGCAATGGCGCAATCTCAGCTCACCGCAACCTCCGTCTCCTGGGTTCAGGCAATTCTCCTGCCTCAGCCTCCTGAGTAGCTGGGATTACAGGCACGCGCCACCATGCCCAGCTAATTTTTTGTATTTTTAGTAGAGACGGGGTTTCACCATGTTGACCAGGATGGTCTCGATCTCTTGACCTCGTGATCCACCCGCCTGGGCCTCCCAAAGTGCTGGGATTACAGGCTTGAGCCACCGCGCCCGGCGGGAGAGATTTCTTAAGGTTTCTTTCTGTTGCAAGGTGGTGTCTTGCTGAGTATTGATGAGATGGTGGTACTAAAAAACTAACCCAAATAACCAAGTCAGACTGGACAGCTTATTTCTATTTTCTGCATATGAGGAAGACAAACAATATGTTTTAGTATCTTAGAGATCTTATATTGCCTATATTCAAGTTTAGATTCCAGAGCATATATGATATATTAATTACATCACCTTGGGAAAATTAACTTCTTTAAGTGTGTCTAAAAATGTGGAGTCACAGGGAGAAAATGACAGGAGACAGGAGTAAGGCACGGCTCCCACTTGTATGACAGAACCGTGTTTGAAGACTGAAACTGTAAACTTTTCTCCAAAAACACCTCAGAAATATATGAAGCAAACTGAAAGAATTCATGGATCCATTGAAACAATTTGTCAATGCAAATTCTGTGAGATAGCCAAAAAACTTTGTGGGGGAAAATCTTCCTCTGAACACACAGCCCCACTGGGAATCCTGAAAGGGAGCCATGCAAAATATAAAAGTAGAAGAAGCAGCTGGAAGAGCCTGGTAGGTACTCCCATTCTCCAGCTTGAGCCCAGCAAAGTGATGGATGACTTTATCTCACAGGGGTCCTTGGAGAAGGCGGCCCGCAGAATTAGGGAGGATGTCTCAGGATGAAAGAAGCTGGCAACTGAACTTGGTAATAATGTGGACTGGGCACAAATTTTCTTGATGGCAATCCAGGGAGCAAACAGGAAATGCTGCAGATATAAGCACAGGAGCTGTGGCTTAAAGTGTGGGAAGGCATGGAGGGGTGTGGCCTAAATGCACTATTGCTTTCTTAGAGGCTTGTAGCCAGGGGCAATGACTGAGCCGCACGGGCTGCCTGTTATAAACTTGGCCCTGTTGGTGGGGCACAGCAGGAGCAAGACAGGTCTCCTCAGCTGCCTGGGAGCTGGTTAAGGACTGTCACTGCCAGCTTTCTTCCACTTTCTTGGTGACCTGTGTGACACAGCACAGGCAGCCATAATCCCCTCTGAAGAATAACTCCTTTGGCCTGAGAACCAATCCCCATCCCTGACAGCAGCAATGGCAAGCCCCACCCAAGAAGAGTCTGAGTTCAGATATGCATAACCCTGCCCCCACCCGATGTTATTTCTCTTGCTACCCTGGTATCCAAACACACACACAAAAAAACATAAATTTTGGGAGCAATATGGCCTTGTTCATGGCTTGAGAAATCCGAATACTTATCCTGGCCAACTTAGAGCAAGCTTTTGTACCCCTTCTACTCCAACAGCTGTTGCTGTCTTGAAAGTGCCGCCTCCTGGCTGGAGCAAACAAACTCAAGCCATTACAGCAACTCATGAGAGTAAAACTCTGCTCAAAGTAAGAAGACAACAGCTAATTCCAGTGACTAAAACATCCTGGCTAAGCAGAGGTCCTGAGTCTGTCCACGCGACAACTTCATTGCTGGTATAACCAGCATTCGAGAAAGTCAGCACATTACACATATCTACAATCAAGGTCCTCACAGAATCTACTGCCACTCCCCTGCCAGCTACATCAGTGCAGATCCTGGTTTCCATGGCTGGGAGACCTGAAGATGGATCACTTCACAGGACTCTTTGCAGACATTCCCCAGCAGCACCCTGGAGCCTGGTAGCCCTGCTAGGTGGCCAGACCCAGAAGAGCAATAACAATCACTGCAGTCCATCTCTCAAGAAGCCGAATCCATAGGGGAAAAAGGAGAACACCACAGCAAGAGATTACCACATGGGATGAAAAAATCTGAACAGCAGCCCTTGAGTTTCAGTTCTTCCAGCTGAAATAATTTACCCCAATGAGAAAGAATCATGAAAATAACTCTGGTAATATGACTGAACAGGATTTTATAACACACCCAAAAATCACACTAGACCCCCAGCAATGGATCCAAAACAAGAAATCTCTGAATTATGAGATAAAGAATTCAGAAGGTTGATTATTAATTTACTCAAAGAAGTACCACAGAAAGATGAAAACTACCTAAACAAATTCTTTAAAAAATACAAAATATAAATGAATAATTCTTCAGAGAAATAAATATCATCAAGAAAAAACAAGTACGCCTTGTGAAATTGAAAGATGCACTTAGAGAAATACAACATGCATTGAAAAGTTTCAACAGTTGATTAGAACAGATAAAAGAAAGAACTTCAAAGCTTGAAGACAAGGCAATTATCCCAATTTGACAAAGACAAAAAAAAAAAAATTAAAATATGAGCAAAGTCTTTCAGTAAGTTGGAGTTATGTTAAATGTGCAAACTTAAGAATAATTTTTGTTCTTGAGAATTAAGAGGAATCTAAAAGTTTAGAAAATGTATTTGAGAGAATAAACCAGAAAAATGTCCCTGGCCTTTCTAGAGATCTAGACATCCAAATACAAGAAGTTCAAACAACACCTGGGAAATTCATTGAAAAAAGATCATGACTTAGGCACATAGTCATCAGGTTATATAAAATTAAGATGAAGGAAAGAATCTTAAAAGCTGCCAAAAGCATCAGACAATCTCTCATGGAAAGCCTATCAGATTAACAGCTGACTCCACAACAGAAATCCTGCTGGTCAGAAGGATTGGGGTTTTACCATGAGCCTCCTCAAACAAAATAGTTTTCAGCCAAATATTTTGAGTCCAGCAAAACTAAGCTGCATAAATGAAGGAAAGATAGTCTTTTTAAACAAATAAATGCTGAAAGAATTTGTCACCACCAAGACAGAACTGCAACAAATGAAAAAAAAAAGGGTTCTAAATCTTTTTTGTTTTTTCTTTCACTGGAATGCAATAAGGAATTCTAAATCTTAAAACAATACCTCAAAACACAAAAAAATACTACCTTCTAAAAATATAAATATCACAGGGCCTATTTAAAATTTTTAAAAACACACACACAAGTTACTCAGACAACAACTGGC